CCGGTAGAGCCAGGGGTGATTGGGCTCGATTTGACTTTGGCGTTGGGGACTTAAGCGCTTTTCGTCCACCGCATGTTGGGCTCTGTCAGAAGCGGCGGGTGCTCTCTCTCTCTCTCTCTCTGTCGCTCGGTGTGGCAGCAGCAAATCGAAGCTTCTGCGTCTGCAAGAGTTCGGTGGCATCTTGCAAAAAGCTCTTGTCAACAAAAGCACCCCTTGCTCCCAAGGAAGTTGGCTTTGGTGCTGTTTCGGTCAAAACAACCCAGCATCTGCTGCAGCAGTGGCCTGTGATTAATGCCACGCCGGTCTCGATCACGAACTGGGGAAGGGGAGAAAGCACCTTGAGAACTTTAACTGAGAGTTTCAGACAGAGAACCCCAAAACAACCCCACATCATACAGAGGATCCTTGGCATAACTCATCAAAGGAATCTTGATGTTTGAAGGCTGGGGTCCTCGGTTGGTTAAGAGCATACCGAACGCAGCACCACCAGAACCTTAGGACCTTCAACCCCGAAAAACCTTAACCGTATCTTCAGGAGCCCGGCTTCGACTTCATATGGTTTTGTTTCTACCTTCTGTGCCCAACGGCGTCCAAGAATCGCGTGGCTCTTCGACCCTCTCGCGATTGCCCGCCTCGCCTGCAGGACCCTAAGCCTCCCCAAACCCCGACACCCGCCTTGCCCGAAACCCTAAACCCTAAACCCTAAGCCCTAAGCCCTAAGCCCTAAACCCTAAACCCTAAGCCCTAAACCCTAAACCCGAAACCCTAAACCCCAAGCCGATCCGGCTGAGCTCGTGGCCCGACCTGCGTAGATGGGCATTTTCGGACTCATGTCCAGCCTGGTGCTTGAGCAGGGGGCTTGGGGCGGGTCCAGAATTGGCCTTCCAGCAACCACCGTTAAACTTTAAGAGGCTGTGTATAGTTCAGCCCCACGTCCGCAAGACCACATCTGTCTGCTTGTCCTTCTGAAAAAGGTGGGGACCCCTAAACCCTAAATCCTAAACCCTAAACCAGGCAGCTCACAGCCCAAGCTTTCCGCACACTGCCTGGGCAGCCACCGGCGTCCCTGTCTGTAGGCCACATCCTTGCGGCCAGAGAGAATTGCAAGGCAAACCTTACAGCTGTTCCCCGATCTCAGCAATACCCATAGGCCCCATGGTAGTTCCTTTTCGGGGTTACCTTATAGGATTCGATAGATGAACCCCAAAAAGGAACTACTTTAGGGCCTATGGGTAATAACCGGCCATTGGGCCATTATTGCAATAGGAAAGTTGGCTAGATACGGTGGGTTAGGATTCCTCAACCTGCAGCCCTATACCTACGCAGCCCTGGTTGATACACGCCCAGATCCTACTACCCTCCACCCGAACCCCTGAATGATTACTAAACCCAAAAGCTCCGAAACCCGAAACCCAAGGCCCACCAAGCCCCTTCAGCCGAAACCCTCAACCCTCAACCCTAAAAACCCTAAAAACCCGAAACCCTAAACTCTAAAACCCTAAACCCTGAACCCCGAACCCCGAACCCCAAAGCCCTGGGCCTAAATCCTCCACTCCCACGCCCCAGCGGGTCCCGGTTATGCGCGAGAAGGAGCTGAGCCCGCTCGATGTCGTTCAGCAGCTGGGGCCCTGCCAGGACTAAGGGGCGTTTAGGGTTTGGGGTTGCGGTTTAGGGTTTAGGGCTTAGGGTTTATAGGGTTTAGGGTTTTAGGGCTTGGGTTGAGGGTTTAGGGTTTACGGCTTAGGGCTTATAGGGTTTAGAGATTAGGGTTTAGGGGGGGTCAATGATTAGAACAGTTTCGGGGATGTTACGGTATACTGTACTCAGTACTTTGAAGGACTAGAAGGGCCTAGTACTGCGAATTGTTTCGACCCCGAAACGCGGGTTCAAGGGATTTCGGATTGGAGGTCTCTCAGGACCCATCGGATTTCCGAAGTGTCGAGGGTCGTTAGTGCCGAATCTTCATTAGGGACGCCTTGAACCCAAGGCTCATCTCAAGCACGGAACAGTTTGGCCTGTAGGTATCAGGGGCGCAAGGCTTTCACAGATCGACAGACGGAGCATGCACGGGAGCCTCTTCTACTGCTCGCACCTTCCTGGCTTCCATCCCGACGCCCAGAGCTGCTCATCTCACACTAGGATGCTCGCCAATGGCTCCCACACAAAAAAGGGACCTTCAGAACGAGATTAGTTATATGAAGGAACCCTAGAAAAAACTAGTAATCATTCCGACTCCTATAGTACCCATGACTCACATGAACTGAGGAGCCACTCCCTTCCGGCCTCCTGCGGGAAATGCCCAGCCGATCTCGTACATGAGCTGCTCCTCTCTGCAACGAAACTAGAATTTTAGGGTTTAGGGTTTAGGGTTAACTAGAAGCCCACAAAACAAGGACGGTGTCCTTTGCTTCCTAACTTGACCTTCTCTCCTGCCGAGCTTTCTCGACTTAGGCCCTAAGTATGTCGTTTGATTCTTCCACTATTCTCTCTTAATCCCGGAGCCAACCATGTTTCAAGTTCACGGCTTCAAGTTGGAGGAAACATAATGGACCTGGCTTTCGCCTCAGCAGGAACACCAGACAGCGAAGACGGGCCCCAAGCCTAACATGCCAGAAACTATTACCCCTTCACGTCAGCCCGACAAGATGAGATTCTTGAGTGTTCAGGCTCCGGTTGCTCAGTTCATCATGGGGGCTTCCCAAAATAGGGGACCCTAATATAGTACCCCAAATAGCAGGATCCTTATTATTACAAGGACCCCTAGATAAGGTACCCCTCATTTTCGGAAACTCCCTCATAGTTCCATGGGAGTCCCTAAACCCTAAACCCTAAACCCTAAACCCTAAACCCTAAACCCTAAACCCTTCCCATCGAACCGCACCTGGAGATCATCAGTGCCGGCCGCGTCGCTATCGAGCCAGAGGATCGGCACCTGGAGGATTCTTAGGGTTTGGGATGCTTCGGGGCTTAGGGTTTAGGGTTTAGGGTTTAGGGCTGAACGTCCTTTGGTTTTTGAAATATTACATGAATCGTAGCTGGGACTGCCTAGGTGTCAAGTGTCTGTGCAATTATTCCTAACTACTTCATTGATTTCCTGTCCGATTTCGGACTAAGGGCCTTTCTCTGCTGAAGAAAATTCGCCTGGACCAGGTACTTGGAGCCTGGGATTCGCATGAGGTCTTCAGAGCAGAGTCTTAGAGTTGACGGTCACCATCACCGGATCGCCCAGGTCGGCAATAGCCTGTTTCAGACTGAAGCGCGGTGCGATCGATGCAAGCCGAACTTAAGGAAGCAAAGTTGGATACCGACGTTAACACAACAAGCCATGAACGCGCTGTCCACTCGCCGGAAGGCCTGGAAATCCTCAACTCTCCACCACAACCCTATACCCCATACCTAGACCCCAAACCCCACACCCCCACACCCGGCCCTAAACTGTTGACCCCAAACCCCAACCCCTTAAAAGCCAACCCTCGTCACTGTTTTTGGGGGTTCTGTCCTGGGGCAGTTCGGTCCGCACCGTCCGCACGAGGCCCTGCACCGATGCCTGGGGTGGCACCGTGGTGCGGCCTCAAGAAACGGCCCGCCCAGGGCTGCAGATATGTGGGGTTCAGGATTGTCGAGTCTAGGATCCCGCTGCCTCAAGGTGGGGAATCCTCTTTGGAACCATGCAGATGGAGATCTAGGCCCTTCTTTGACCAGAAACAGCCTGCCGCTCTCACGGCATTCCCAAGACCCATGCTTGCGTATCCACTACGCTCAGACTGACAACTCAGTGAACGACCGGATGATAGGGTTCAGGGATTTCACAAACGAAGTAGGGAGCTCGAATCTCTAATCCTGAACCCAAACCCAAGGCACAAACCTCGACATGAACCCTGAAACCCTAAGGGGCCCGAACCCCTCACCCCTAAGCCGATAACCCCCCAAAAATCGAACCCATGTCACGCGGGGGCCACGGCGATAGGTTGAGCTCCCCGGACCCATGGCCAAAGAGGTCAGGAGCAGGATCCGGATCGATCCTCAGGTTCAGTCGGTTTACCAGCATCTTCGGATTTGCGGGTGTTTTTTTTTTTAGGCGGTTTCGGATTTGAGGCAACTCAGGTGTACTTGGTTTAGGAATTGGGGTTGGAGCCATGAATAAACCCTGTTGCTGCCCGGCCTGGAACCTCCTTTGCTCCACAGCCGAGGCTTCAAAGCTCCAGAGAAGTCGTCTTGCTGCAGTCGGCTGGAAGCTCTTTATGACTACGCTCCGAAAGAAGCTTGCATGAACCTGTCCTCAAAGGGTGGAATCCCAGATGCGGAAGAGGGTTCGGGGATCCTCTCCATAGCTGCTTATTCTGTTCGGATTCGACGCTCCCGCCGTGGCTGAGGCGGGGCACCGTTTCTCGGCATCTGCTGGATGATTGCCTGCGGAAAGGCAGCATTGCGTCAGGACGAAAGATCCGGCAATGCACGGCAATGCCGCATGATTGGTCCTGAATCCTACACTGACGAGGCTCGCATCTCGTAAACAAGCCTGCAACACATTGCAACACCACCTTACCTGACTGCATCCAACCCTAGAGGCCCTAGAGCGACAAAAGGCAAGAATTGCAGCTCTCCGTCCGACTTGGGCAACTCCAGGATGCTACGACTACTCCCCTGGATCTTCATGCTGCGCTCCGTACTTCCTTTGGCATCTGGCCGTCTCCATGCAGGGTCTCCGGAGGAAGCTATGCCCAGTTTCTTGAGAGTCACAGCCACTGTAGGGAGCTGTGACGCACAGAGCTGCTGCTTGATCTTCAATTGTCAATGTGCGCCCTCGACTCAACCCTCAACCCTAAACCCTTTATGTTCTGGAACTCCCCCAGATCTCTCGCAGTGAGCAGCCTGGAGTGTTCGGAATCGCAGCCTCTCTCTTGGAGGGCCCTGCAATTCCCAAATGGTGAATCACGGTTGCGAACTACTCCGAAATTCGGAGTGGCCACGATGATGGGCAATTGGGGAAAAGCATGTTGCTAGTGGTCTTCCCCCCGTCTTGATCTCAAGCTGCGCTGCAACAGGTGCTTCTTCTTGTCGCAATCTTCGAGATCGTTGAGCGCAGCGCCCATGTGGCTCAGCATCATAACTGCTTCAATGCCCTTGGTCTGTAACGATGTTTCTGGATCTTCAATCGCCCTGCTCCAGCAGCTGCTACTGTTTCTGCTGATGTCCGAGATCTCCAGGTGCGCAAAGATTACAGCAAGTTGAGGCTGCCCTGCCCTCCAGCGTTGCTCCCTGATCGTCATGCTGCCCTTAAGCAACTTCTGATCATCTTCGAACTCTCCACGTGCAGTACCCAGATTGTGCAGAGTCCAGCCACGTCCGGTTGCATGTTCTTCGATGTTCTGGCTGCGCTCAATTAGCTCCTCTTGTTTATGGTAACGCTCTAACACTACGTCGGCCAGGTTGTTCATTGTCACGACGAGTTCGCACTCGTCCGCCTCGTATCTACACCGGTAGGATGTCCGAAGGTGCAGCACGGACTGCTCAGTGTAACAGTGTGCTGCCCCGTAAACCTGCTCATCGATTGTTCCAGCATGTCCTTCTGTTTTTGATAGTCCGTGCTTTCCGAAGGAGCTCCCCAAACGGTTGAGAGTCGACGCCACCTCAAGGAGGTGCTTGCCCTCTTATAGCAACTAGAAATGCGAGGAGTGGCCGCCCGTCGTGGCGATCGCAGTCGCGGCCACAGCGGAGCCCAACAGGTCCCAGGACGGACATGCTTCAACAGCAATGGAAGTGCAGCGGCAAGCGGCTGCAAATCTGCAACTGCCGATGCTTGTGCCGCAAGATCGCCGCGGATAGATTTCCGAGTTCGGAGGGCATGTACAAAAATCTCTCCTCCAGGCAGGGACGCAAACCAGATTATCGAAGCCGAGAACCTGAATCCAGAAGTGCCTGATACACCTCAACCCTGAATCTCAAGCCCCGAATCCCCCAACCCCGAAGCCCAAACGTTTAAGATCCTCAACAGAACCTAGGCTTACTTCCATGACTTCAAACCTGAGACCACACAGAAAGCAGCGCTGCCTGGAAAGCCGTGAGGAGATCTACGCAGAGTTGTTCTGTCTTGGCCTGGAGCCAACCTGCCAGGTAAATCTGATTCTGAGGATTCCTCGGGCTGCAGTAGGCAAGGTTGATGCCCTCGGGTTCATGGACACTAAAGGAAGAGGATCCGACACCCTAAATGCCAAACCTCAAATGCCCTGAGATTCTGCATTGATCCCATGTGAGCTCCGAAAGGCTGCCTGCCAAGGGGACGACGAGCACGTCATACCTGATGAGCCCATTCCTCTCACTTCTGAAGCTCTGGGGCGGGCTTCTTCGTTGAGCTTCAGGGCACCGTTAAGAGCTCATATTTTTCCAGAGTCCTAAAACTTCGGGGCTCTGTCTCGGTCCCGAATCCCCTACTTCCACCCCTCAGCGCAGTCAGAATAGGCTTCACCTTTTGATGTCGGATGTATGACTTCAACCAGGACTCTTTCGAGAAAAAGCTACGACCAGCTAAGCTTCAGCGTTCGGCAGGGTCGCCTATTTAATGCGGCTGCATGGTTTACAACGTGTGCGACAAAAGTGTCTGTAGGCAAAAAAACAGGCAAGTAGAGCGGTCGACGTCAAGGGCCCGGCCCATCCAACTTTGTGGAATTGCCATCCCCACTGATCGCACCACCCGCAGCCAGCCTGGCAGAACGGATAGGTATGTGGTTATGCCGAAGAGTCCTTAGATCCTGCTCTGTAAGGGTGAAACTGTTCGTTCATGGTACAGGGTCATGTACGGCAGCACCACGAAGGTAAGCAAAAAGTACAGCTTCGTCCAAACGTCACCCTCGCTTGATAACCAGCGGTATACAATCAAAGCGCCCGCTCATCGGGTCCGCTTTCGTGCCAACGAGAATGCTCTGGGTGGCGATAGAACGGGAGTTGCACCGACAACAAGCCAAACCCACAGGTTCGTCTAAAGGTCTTGAAAACTTGATAACCAATCTTGCAATCTTGCTTCACCACCGAAGCACCCCATCAGCAGGTTGCTTTTTGACGGCCGAGACAAAAAGATTGTTTCTGCGACGGCTGCGCAGATAACTTCCATGGTATTAGAGTTACAGTGGGAATCTGGATTGTGCATGAGACAATTGCGCGGAGGGAGGGTTTGGGTTTAGGCTTAATTTGAACTGGATCCCTCAGAATTTGGGGATCTGATTTCGGGGTAATTTTGTCGAGGCGCCTGGGTAAGAACTTCCTGTGAACCAAGAACTTGTCTCTGGAGAAGACAAGCAGATCCTGCAATCAGCTCCCACTGAGCCCAACAGCCCAGATCTTCGGCAGCAGAATAATGTAGGGGCCTCAAGAATTAGAATAGGGTTTGGGGGGTATACTCTACTATATAATTATGATAAGGAACCCCCGAAACCCTATTCTAATTATTAAGGCCCCTACATTACTGTGTCTTGTTTTTGGCAGTCACCATGTTCACAACTTCTTCACAGCGGGTTTGCATGGTGCATGAACTTACTTCGACTGCTGCATCCTGTTCACTCCAAGCCACGAAGCCCCGGATAGTCTCCCATAAGCCTTCTGTACTACTCCTATGAGGAGCTTGGGGTCTTATGTGAGTCCATATCAAAATACGGTAGAGGGTTCCGGGGAGCCTGTCGGAAAGGCCTGATTTTCTTCTTCCGATTCCTCAGTCTCAGCAGAGGGACCCGCACAAGCGTAGAACAGCCACCCTGCTGGGGAACCTAGGACCCAGGAAAGCGCGACCCTTAAACCCTAAACCCTCCTGAACCCTAAACCCTAAACCCTGAAGCCCAAACCCTAAACCCCTAAACCCTAAAGCCCAAACCCCCAGAACGCTCCTGAACCCTAAAACGCCCAAACCGAGTCCTCACAACCCACGGCCAGCAGGGCGGCCATGGCCTCAAGGGCGCAAGCAATCGCAACAGCTCCGGAGTTTGGGGGTTAGGGTTTAGGGTTTATGTAGGTGTTTAGTAGGGTGTAGGGTTTAAAGTTTAGGGTTGAGGGTTTAGTAGGGTTTAGGGTTTAGGGTTTAGGGTTTAGGGTATAGGGTTTAAGGATTAGGAGTTAGGGTTTAGGGTTCGGATCTCATGGCTTCGCCCTTGGGGATCTCTGGGTTAAGGCCGGAGCAGCTTCAGAATAATCAAGTTGAAAGGCTTTGGGACTTTGGGGGCTTATAGGGGTGGGTGTAACTTAAGGCTGTACTTGTTTTAGTGATTGAAGGGTTTAGGGTTTAGGGGTTTAGGGTTTAGGGTTTAGGGTTTAGGGTTTACGGTTTAGGGCTTAGGGTTTAGGGCTTAGGGTTTAGGGCTTAGGGTTTAGGGGCGTAGGAGTTGACTGGGGGCTGGACATAGAGTCGCCCCTTGACTGCAACACCCGGAGCCAGCAAACTCAACTGCATTGCCCTCTAGAAACCACCTAGCTCTCAGCTTGAGGAATGCTCCACGTAACCTAACTCCCTGAACTTTGAACCCTAAACCCAAGCATGTGAAGTCGTCAACCCAAAAATCCCAAACCTACTCTACAACCAAGAAAGGAACCCTGAACCCCAATAACTTCAAACCCTGCACCCAAAGCACGGGAATAAAAACCCCAAAAACAAAAAAAAACAAAACCCTAAACCCAGCAAGAACCTAAACAAACCCTAAACCCTAAACCCTAAACCCTAAACCCTAAACCCTAAACCCCTAAACCCGTGGCTCTGGGGAGTGCCTCTGGAGGCGGAGCGCTTGCGCAAGGCAGCTCCTGCTCGGTTTGGGAAGTTTTGGGGGGCTATTCTAATTAATCTCCTAGATCCCTTTCAGGATCCCTTTTCAGGAATCCTATCGTAATCATGAAGGCCATTATCTCAGGGCTTTGGGGCTTTGGGTTCTTTTGCTTGGCTGGGCTTGTAGGGTTGGTTCTTGAGTCGGGGTTTCGGGAGGGAGTTTTGGGCCTGGGGGGGGAGGGAAATTTTTGGGTTGTGTGTTGTCAAAACACACTCGAACTGCAGAGATCCGCATGCGAGGCCGCATTTAGGTATAGGAATCAAAGACAGGGTCCTGGCCATTGGGGTCTAGGATAGAATGCAGGGAAACACTTTACATGAATCTTTTGCAAGACGAACACTTACTGCGATGATCACCACCACCATCATCATCATCGTCACAACGTTCATCTGATGCACCAGCACCAGCACCAGCACCAGCACCAGCGCCAGCACCACCGTCACCATCATGATTACAATCGTCATGTCCATTCGACCATTCGACAGCATGACTACGGACGGATTTCATCACCGCCGCCATCAACATCACCATCCTCAGTACCGTCATCACCTTCAGCATCATCGAGCTTACAAGCAGCACCAGCCTTCAAATAAGTCCATCACCCGAAATTATTGCACCAATTTGCGCGCATGATGCTCAGGGATGGGGAATACTGCTGCGATATGCTAGCGGACTCAAGATGTTGCCCCTAGAACCCTCGATGCCACTAACCCAGGCATGTCTCCAGCAATGCCCAGCGAAGGGTATCTGGAGAGCTCCCAGCGGGGGGCTGGACCTTCTGCCTTTGCTAAGCAGGGGTTACAGTAGGGCGGGGGTCGAGGATTTCGCATTTAGGATTCCGGATTGGAGTCTCAACGTACCCGGTGAGGCTTGAGCTGGCATTTCGGGTTCGTGAGTGCTTAGAATTTCCAAGCTCGGGCGCAAGTGAAGAATCTCTGCATCTGACAATGTACTGCGAATTCCAAAGCACCGGCAGGCATAAATGAATTTGGGCGTGAACTGCCGGGGTCGCGCAAATATCCTAGCAGGAGCAATAAATGGGAGTTTCAAGCAACAAGGGCCCCAATACGAACCCTCGTAATCCTTTAGAAAAGAGTTGACAAGGCAACCCTATTTCGAGGAGCCACAAATCCGAAGCCCCCCTGGATCTCAAAGCTCAAGCAAGTCCCTAAAGGTTCAGCACGGTTTGGTTCAGGGTTTAGGGTCTAGGGTTTACTTGGCAAGTTCTTGCGGTCTAGGGGTTTAGGGTCTAGGGCGTAGTCTTGGCCACGGGATAGGTCGGACAGGTGAAATGCAAAACAGTAGTACTAAGAATAAAAACAGTATTTAACAATACTTATAACAATAGTATATTTTAACATTCATCATCGTACCAATACATACAAGTGAAAATCATGAAAATAGTAATAATCGTCATAACAGTAACAATATTCGTAATAGTCATAATCACAATAATAAGATTCGTACTAACAATGCTAACAACCCTAAACCCTAAACCCTAACCCCAATCCGACGGATTTCCAAGGCCCCTCGCATGGCGGTCTCCGCCGTTGCAGGCAGAGCCAAGGCAGCGATGCCTCTTTGGGGGTCACTTAGTAGGTTTAGGGGTTTAGGGTTCAGG